AGAATATTACAGACCCAAATGACCTCAGAGGAAGCAGCAGCTAACGCACGATACTCCGCCTCAGTTGAACTATGAGCAACAGCTTTTTGTTTACAAGCTTTCCAAGAAATTGGAGTGCTGCCCAAGAACACAATGAAGCCAGTGGTAGACTAAAGGGTATCCTTGTCACTGGCGCAATCAGAATCAGAAAAAGCATGAAGAGGAGACAGAGGTTGCCGATGGAGTAGAAATCCATGAAAGACAGACCCTTTGAGATAACGTAGGATACGCTTGGCAGCTTGCATATGCACATCAGATGGAGCATGAAGGAACTGGGAAAGATGATTGACAGCAAAGGTAATATCCGGCCGAGTGAGATTGAGATGTTGCAAAGAGCCCATTAGACTCCGATACGAAGAAGGATCTGAAAGTTTGAGACCTTGGTGCAACTGAAGAGCAGTAGTAGCCATTGGGGAGGAAACCGGTTTAGCCTCAGCCATGCCAAATTTATCTAATAAATCAAGAATGTACTGAGCCTGTGAAAGAAAAAGACCTGTAGAAGTGAAAATGGCATTAACACCCAAGAAATAATTAAGAGCACCAAGATCTTTGATAGAGAAGGTGTTCCCCATTAACGTGATTAACAAATCAACTAACTTCAGGTTGTTGTCGGTCACAATAATATCATCAACATAAACCAAAAAATATAAGCAATCGGAGCCATGATGATATATAAAAAGAGAGGTATTTAATCTGGAATTCTAGAACCCATGAGAAAGCATAAACGTTTTCAACTCTTTAAACCAAGTGCAAGGGGCCTATTTCAGACCATATATAGATTTTCGAAGCCTGCAAACATGCTGGGGTAAGCTAGCATCAACAAACCCAGGTGGTTGGGCCATAAATAGTTCTTCTTCAAGCTTCCCATGGAGAAAAGCATTGTTGACATCAAGTTGACGAATGGGCCAATTCTGATTAAGTGCAAGAGAAAGCACAATTCTGATAGTAATAGGTTTAATAACAGGGCTGAAAGTATGAAAGTAATCAGAACCAGGTCGTTGATGAAATCCTTTGGCCACAAGACGAGCTTTATAACTTTCCACTCTCCCTTCATTGTTACGTTTAATTCGGAATACCCACTTGCAACCAATGACATTTTGATGGTTATTAGAGGGAACTAACTCCCAAGTACCCTGTCTTACCAAGGCATTAAACTCATCAGACATAGCTTGACGCCATTGATGATGTTTTAAGGCTTGACTAACACAAGTGGGTTCTAGAGGGGGATCAATTGGGTGTTTAGTCATAGTGAATAGGGTCTTGGGTTTAAAGATATTATTTTGAGACCTAGTGATCATGCCATGGGTGTAGGAGGGTACAGGTGGTGGCTGTGGGGTCGGAGGTGAGTCGGTGGTGGCATTGGAAAAGGGAGAAAGCGAGGTAGCATTGGTGGGCATAAGCTGTGAGCTTGTGGCAGGAGATGAAGGCAAGGTGGAAGTAGGTTGGTGAGACACGGAGGTTGTGTCAGGCTTGGTGGGTGGAGATGATTGGGCAATTGGCCGTAAGGGAGAGCAATGTTGAATTGGTGGGGTTGTGGAGCGGTGGGTCGGTAAGAGAATGGGTGAAGAGGTAAGATCATGGGCCGAATGAGAACTAGAGGAAGAGTTGAGGGAGCATACCTGATTAATTTCCGAGGAGGACACACTAGGGGTGGCTGCTCGAGGACGAGCCTGAGACAAGGTGGTATCGGCTGCAAGGGGAGAAGGCTTGTGGAAAAGGAAATCATGCTCATTGAAAACAACATGCCGAGAAATAAAAATTTTTCCAGTAAAAGGATCAAAACATTTATGCCCAAGGTGATCAATAGAGTACCCAAGAAAAACACATTTCCGAGAGCGAGGTTGTAGTTTATTAGAGTTGTATGGGCGTAGCCATGGATAACAGGTGCAACCAAAAACTAGAAGCTTAAGGTAATTAGGTTTGACATGAAATAATTTTTCAAAAGGAGAGGTGGAAGTAGGTCCTGGGAAACGATTAATGAGATACACAGCAGTTGTAAAAGCATGACTCCAAAATCGTGGCGGAAGGGATGCAGCTTGTAAGAGAGCTAGACCGATTTCAACAATGTGACGATTCCTACATTCACTAATCCCATTTAGTTTGGGTGTATAAGGTGGGGTAGTAAAGTGTGATATACCATTCTTTTGGAAAAAATCACGTAAGGCAAGATATTCCCCACCACCATCAAAATAAAAGGATTTAATTGTGGTTCCAAATTGATTTTCGACAAGATGGTGAAATTTTTGAAAAATTAAGGCAACTTCATATTTTCATTTGATAGGAAAGATCCAAATGTAACGACTAAATAAATCTACAAAAATCACATAATAAAGGAAACCATCAAAAGACATTGAAGGAGCTGGGCCCCAAACATCTGAAAACATTATTTCCAAAGGTTTATTATTTGAAATAGAAGACACTCCAAAAGGCAACTTATGACTTTTGGCACATAAACATGACTCACATAAGAAAGACCTAGATTTATTAGAGAGCGGCAAAGTAGCACTTCTAATAATTTTATTCAAAGTTTTTGACGAAGGATGTCCCAATCTTGCATGCAAATCCATGATGGACGTTTTTTCACCAATTAGTGCCACTAGATGTGATTTAATTGGATTTTGAATTGGTAGTCGGTACACGCCATGTTGATTAGGCCCTCGAAGAAGTGTCACCCCCGTAGTGCGATCCTTCACAAGAAAATACTCAGAGTGAAACTCAATCAACACATTATTATTGCGACATAATTTGGAAACATAAATCAAGTTACTCGAGGCATGAGGTACACACAGAACATTTTTTAAGGTTAAAGGCTTAATGTTGGTTGGAAGTGTGGTGTGACCCACGTGTGAAATAGTCAAACCTGATCCATCACCAATTAGCAATTCATCAGGCCCGTCATATTCTGAGTGAAGTGCCAGGTTTGCCAAGTCAGGAGTAACATGATCAGAGGCTCCAAAATCTATCCACCAATCACCCTTTTTCGAAGTGGAGGTTGTAGCAAAGTTGGCAACATTGGCGTGATTTTTGAGCTCTGGACAGTCCCTAGCAAAATGTCCAAAATTGTTGCACAATTTCTAGGCATTAGTATTGTGATTATTATACTTGTTGAAGGAATTTCGATTATTTTTTCCCCCTCGAGCTCCACGGTGTCCTCGGCCTCCTCCATGGCCCATTGGAACATATTGGTTGGTGCCAGATGCAGAATTGGGTCTATAAGGTCGGTTTGAGTATTCCTGGAGTCCTTTAGAATTGTGATAACCACCTACTGAATTTCGGTCACTGAAGCCACCATAACTGTTGTGGTTTCCAACTATGCGAGGATGCACATAAGCAAATTGTGCTGTAATGGGTGTATTATTATCATTGACAAGTGCTTCCTCTCTTTGTAAGGACTCTTCATGAGCTAAAAGTCTATCTTGTAAATCTTCGAATGACAGTGGGGGTTTATCACGGGCTTGAATTGAAGCCTTGAATTCCCTATATTCATGTCCCAAATCATTAAGAAGATAAACTTAAATATCAGAGTTGCTTAGGGGTACCTTTTCTGCGTTTCTAATCTGATCAATCAGAATTTTTGCGGTGCGAAGATATTTTGTTACTGCTCGGCCTTCACATCGAAGGTTTTGTAGCCTCTTTTTCAATGCATTTACTCTTGTACGATAGCTATTCGCATAAAGCCTTTCAAGAATCACCCAAGCTTCATGTGACGTCTCAGCACTAGAGACATATGGGTGCACAGATTCTGACACTGAAGTCAAAATTGCATGTTGTATTGATTGATCTTGCCTCACCCATAAATCATATGGTGAGTCGGGTAAGTCATCCTTTGGAGGACATGGCCTGGTGCCCTGCAAAAACTCAGTTAGTCGATAAACTCGAAGCAATGATGTGAATTGTCGGCTCCACATGGTGTAATTATCGGAGGTGAGTTTGACTGGAAATTGGGCAGCAACGAAAGCCATTATGTTGTTTGAACTACTGTTGGTAACAGCAGGTGTGGTTATCACAGTTTTGCCATTGCTTGATTGGATAGATTCTGTGGTTTTGGGTGTTTCCTCAACCATGGTTGTCGAGTACTGGTCTCGTTTGAGATTTTGGCTCTGATACCACTATTGGAACAAGCTTTGTAATTGGAAAACGATGATCTGTATTCATAATGCTGAACCAAATATATACAAGTGTTTGTAGTTACATAAGGAAACTAAAGATATATACAATAATGGAGTATATATGATGTAAATTGGTAACTGATATGCTGCTATAATCTGTAATTGATATGCTGCTATAACACAGAATATATAGTTGCCTTGTTGCTGTGATTCACAAGCGGGGATTGTGTTGCCGTAATTCATGAGCGGGAATTGCTGGAATTGATGATCGGCTTTGTTTCTGTCATATACATTAGGGGATACCCCATAACTAGGATCCCCGTCCATTTACAGAAACACACCTCAAACCCATAACTTGAGACATCATAATGGAATGAAAGACACGTGTCTAGCTTAACGGAGACATATGAAATGTAGAACTTCTTCATCCCAAACATTGTCTCTTCCTTTCATTCATTCTGATTCATCTTTGTCTTTGTCTTTGTCTTTGTCTTTGTTTCTGGAATTCTCAAACCTTCCACTTCTTTTGCAATTCCATCGAACTAAGTATGTACGTGCAGATGCTATTGATACTATCTCACTTGGTTTTTCTTAACTTTCTAGGTCATAAAAGATTTTACAAGGTTCAGATTTGACTTATGCTGTTACCAACAAACAATCTTTGCATTTTTCACTTCATAAGGTCTATTTATTTAATATCCTTTTTAGTAACATGTTAAATTAGACAATGCAGAAATAAAGTACATAAAACTCTGTATTAATCTAAAATTTAGACAGGTTTAAGCACCTAATTACTCTATCTCTAAAATCCCATCAGTATAAAGTTTTAAGTATTTTTTTCAACCTAATAACAATTAATCTGATTCTTCTTTTTTTTTCGGCCACAAGGAATAAAGTTAATTTTTTTTTCTTTTGACTACCACAAAGTTTTCCATACCACAAATCTCTTTCAACCAACTATTCAAAAATCAGAAGAATGCATATCTTTGGTATTAAAGAGAA